AAGATGCTAAAAGATGGTGTGAAAAGCTTCACAATTAAGCAATAAGAAGGGTAAACAACCCCTTAGCACAAAATGGCTTCAAACCACCATATTAAGCTTCAAAAATTAGAGTTTTTTGTAGTTGAAAACTAGGCCCAAAATAGTATAAAAGGATAGCCAAGCAAGTGATTACAACTAAGCTTACAAGGTGAGCAATATACCTCTTGAAGCACAGCACAAAACAGTCACAATTCTAAGCTAAAACCACCCTTAGGAGCTCAAACTAAGCCTCAAAGAACCTTAGCTCCAAGATGATGATGTTTGGCTAAGGGTCTTTGTGCAAAAGCGTAGAGAAAATCAACTATCAGGCATAAAACAATAGGAGAGAGAGAGAGAGAGAGGGAGAAATTTTCTCAAAATTGTGTAACCTCCCAAAATGGAGAAGAGACCCCCCCTATATATAGAAAATCAAGCTAAAGGCTTGTATTCATCCCTCCATACACGTGTATGGAGATTAGCATCAGTGAACAACAGCTAGCACAGCTACCAAATAATTATCTAAAAAAGAAGAAAAATGGCTGTCGGCCATCATCAGTGGCCGACTAGCCATCGATGTAGCCGACCGGCCACAATTGGTGGCCGACAGGCACAAGTCATGGCCGGCAGGCTAGGGGGATGGCCGACAGGCCACCCTCTCCTCCAAAAGTGAAACAACAAGCTCTTAGTCCACAACCGAGCACAAAACACACATGATTAGAGGCTCCAAGGCAAGGCGCTCGGCCGAGACCTTCAGGGACTCAAAACGAACACGAGCAAACACAATCATCCGGTGTTCAAACGATAACGTCCAAATCTTGAGGACGGTAAAAAATGGGGTGTCTACACCTAGTTGAGCTCAAGTCTCCTCTCTTCTTTCCCTCCCTCACGTTTTTATCACTAAGAATGAAGATATGAAAGTGTAAAGGTATGAATGAGGGTCTATCAATGCCTTATATAGGCTAAAGTAATGGTTTAATTATGTGGTTGGCCAAATTATTCAATTAGACATTAAATTATTCTAATTAAATCGTTCCAAATCGAATTTCAATTGAACCTACTATAATATTCTAAAAATTCTATTTAATACATAAATCAAGTCAATTTCTGAATCGGATGCCGACGAAGCCTTCAATTCGTAAACCGAAATGAAAATATGAACAGATCTTTCATACGTTAAACAGATATAAATACAAATAATACAACACACATGTAATTAATTTAGAATTCGGTCTTAATAACTTATTAAACATATGAAATCATGGATTAACGTTAATCATGGGTCGGGATTATTACAGTCTTCCCGCCTTAATGAGTTTGGTCCTCCAAACTCAAATTACCTTCATTTTGAAAGAATACCGAGTCCAAAGGGAATAGTTCAGGGTATCTTTTCATCATGTCTTCTTCTGTTTCCCAAGTTAGATAGGTTCCTCCATGATTCTGCCAATCGACCTTCACTAACGGAATTTCCTTATTTCCTAATCTTTTGATTCAGCGATTCACAATTTGCATTGGCCTCTCCTCGTATGTACAATCATCTTTTAGAAGTGCATGCGTCGGCTCAATTACATGTAGTGGATCTCTCAAATACTCTCGAAGCATAGATACATGAAAAACATTATGCATATGCTCCACGACCAGAGGTAAGGCTACTCTGTATGTTACTGAATTGATCTTTTCAAGAATTTCATATGGTCCGATGTATCTCAGTGCCAACTTGCTTTTCACTCTAAACTGCGTTTGCCCTTTCATTGGAGTCACTTTTATGAACACATGATCCCTGACTTCGTATTATTTGTCTCACCTTCGGACATCTGCATAAATGTTTTGGTGGCTTTGTGTAGTTTTCAACCTCTGTTGAATTAATTTCACATTTTCAGTTGTTTCTTGTACAAGTTCTGGTCCCAACAATGGTCTGTCACCCACTTTAGCCTAACAGATAGGAGAATGGCATTTCCTTCCATACAGAGCTTCATAAGGAGCTATCTCAATACTTGAATGATAACTGTTATTGTACACAAACTCGGTTAAAGGTAGATAAGTCTCTCAATTCCCTTCGATGTCCAACACACACATCTGCAACATATCTTCCAAAGTCTGATTGGTTCTTTCAGATTGACCGTCTGTTTATGGATGGTAGGCACTACTCAATCACAATTCGGTTCCCAAAGCCAGTTGCAAACTCTTCCAAAATCTTGATGTAAACTTCGAATCTCTGTCAGATACAATAGATACTGGTACACCATGTAATCTCATAATTTCATTCATATACATATTAGCTAATTTGTCCGCATTATTAATGGTTTTAACAACCAGAAAGTTGGTAGATTTAGTCAAACGATCAACTATGACCCATATAGAATCCATACCTCGAGACAATCGAGGCAGACCGACAACGAAATCCATAGTAATACGTTCCCACTACTATTCTGGTATTGGAAGCAGCTGAAGTAATCCAACGGGTCGTTGATGTTCAGCTTTAACTTGTTGGCAGTGCAAACATTTAGCTACAAAGTCGGCAATACTTTTATTCATTCCAGGCTACCAGAAGTTCTGTCTCAAGTCATGATACATCTTTGTGTTCCCTGGATGCATGGAAAATTTGGAGTTGTGAGCTTCAGTTATAACATGCGTTCTTAAATCAGAGGAATCCGGTACACAAAATCTATTCTGAAATTTCAACACATTATTCTCAAACACAAACCCTAGCCTCGGTTTTTAGTCAAATTCTTCCACAATTTTTTTCAAGAACTCATCTTCAAGTTGTTTCTCTCTAATTTCTTCAATGATTACAGGTTGAGCAAAAATAGCAGCTAAGATTCCGCCTTGTTCGTGCAATACAACTTCAATTTCATTTCTTTCTAAGTCACATATCAAGTCTCTCTGACCGGTGAGTAAGCACGACAATTTACCCATGGATTACGGCTCAAAGCATCAGCAACTATGTTTGCTTTTCCCAAATGATACAAAATCTACAAGTCATAATCTTTAATCAATTCTAACCTTCTTCGTTGTCTCATGTTCAATTCTTTTTGGGTGAAGAAATATTTCAAACTTTTATGATCCGTATATACTTCACAAGTCACACCATACAGATAATGTCGTCAAATCTTCAAAGCAAAGACGACAACTGCTAATTCAAGGTCATGAGTTGGGTAATTCTTTTCATATGGACAAAGTGGCCGAGAGGCATAAGCAATTACCTTTCCATTCTACATTAGTACACAACCTAACCCTTTATACGAAGTGTCACTGTAAACCTAGAACCCATCAGTACCATTAGGTCGAGTTAAGATTGGTGCAATCACTAATTTGGTTTTCAACTCTTGAAAAACTGTTTCACACCGATCATTCCAATCAAATGGCACATTTTTCTATGTTAGCCGTGTCAATGGCATAGCAAGTTTCGAGAAATCTTTCACAAACCTTCTGTAGTAACCTGCAAGCCCCAAAAAACTTCTTACTTCTGACACATTAGTCTAGTGCACAATGGCTTCAATTTTCTGAGGGTCAATCGAAATACCTTCTCTGTTGATTACATGCCCCAGAAATGCTACACTGTCAAGCCAAAATTCACATTTGGAGAGTTTTGCATATAGCTTATTTTTTCTTAGAATCTGCAACACGGGTGTCAAGTGATTCTCATGATCTTCCCTGCTCTTGGAGTAAATCAAAATATCATCAATAAATACAATAACAAATTCATCCAGATATGATTTAAACACCATGTTCATAAGGTCCATAAAGACAACTGGTGCATTAGTCACCCCAAACAGCATTACCAAAAATTCATAGTGTTCGTATCTAGTTCTGAATGTAGTTTTCTCTATGTCTTCTGCCTTGACCTTTAACTGGTGATACCCGGATCTAAGGTCAATCTTGAAAAACACTTGGGCTCGCTGAAGTTGGTCAAACAAGTCATCTATTCGGGGTAGAGGGTATTTGTTCTTCATAGTTACTTTGTTCAATTCTCGATAATCTATATGTAACCTCAAAGATCTATCTTTCTTCTTGACAAATAGAACTATAGCACCCCAAGGTGAAGTGCTCGAACGGATGAATTTCTTGTTTAGCAGTACTTGAAGTTGAGTTTTCAATTCTTTCAATTCTGAAGTTGACATTCTATAGAGGGTCTTGGAAATAGGTTATGTTCCCGGAGTTACTTCAATATGAATTCAATTTCTCTATCAACTAAGTCTCCAAGCAAGTCTATCGGAAACACATCGGGAAATTCACATGCAACAGGAATAGTTTCCACATTAGCACTATCAGATGATGCAGTCAATATACAACACAAGTAGCCTCTCTATCCCTTCCTAAGCAATTTAACAGCTTTCCTGGCCAAAATCAAGTATGGGGGAGGAACTACCCCATTTCTAGTAAAAATAAATTCAGGCATACCAGGTGATCTAAACACAACAGATTTACTTGCATAGTAAATGGTAGCACAATATTTAGTTAACCAGTCCATACCCATAATACAATCAAAATGATCAATGTTCAAGGGCAACAAGTCAACATACAATGTCATATCACCAATCATAATATCACATGCTGGATAAACATAAGAACATATCATAGAACCCCCAGACGGTGTAGATACAGATAACACATATGTCATAGGTTCTAGTGGTCTAGTTAATTTCCAAGAGAAAGCATGCGATACGAAAGAATGCGTAGAACTAGAATCTATCAGTACACATGCATTTTGAGAACATATAGGGAGTATACCTGACACCACGGCTTCGGTGTTCTGTACGTCACTAGGCACTAAGGCAAACACTCGTCCTTGTTTCAGAGGTTCTTTCTTAGTATTAGCTTTTGCATTTGTTTTGACTGTGGAAGCAGACCCAGCTAAACTCACCATAGGACGGTTGGTATTATCAGACCCAAGTAGGCAATCTTTCACTACATGACCTGTCTTGCCACATCGGAAACAAGCACCGGATGCTTGGTAACACCCCCCCCTATGCTTCCTTCCACAATCAGGGCAAACTGGAATAGACCCACTGCTTTGACTTGAGGTGCTTGTAGACGCTCTTTCTAAAACCATACCTAGACCTTTTTCCTCTCCATTCAGTTGTTGTTGTTTCTGGGGCCTTACTTTGTCTCATAGCGGCTAGGGTGGCTTCCGCCATTAAGGATCTATCAAGGACTTGTACGTATGTTGGCAACTTCAATATGCCTACTCGATCACATATATGTAAGTCCAATCCTCCTTCAAATTTGTGGGCTTTCTTATAGTCCGTGTCTACCATGTGAGGAGAAAATCTGGCTAACTCAATGAACTTAGCCTTGTACTCAGCTACAGATATTCTACCTTGCTTAAGTTCTTGGAATTCAGACATTTTTCGGTCCAAAAAATAATGAGGGAAGTACTTTTCATAAAAGATTTCATTGAATCGAGCCCATGTCATGTTTTCATTGGTATTCCGAATCAGTAACCACCACCTCCAAGCTTCGTCTTTAAGAGTATAGGTGGCCAATAAAACCTTTTGAGTCTCGGTACAGGGAAAAACTTCAAACAACTTTTCCATCTCAAGAAACCATGGTTCCGCTTTCAATGGTTCAATCCCACTCAAAAAAGTTGGCAGTTTCATCTTCATGAATTTCTGTGTCAGGTTCATAATGTTATTATTATTAGGTTCAACTTGTACCGGTAGAAGCGGAAGGGGCAAAGGTTGTTGTCTCTACTGTTGTGTCATAGCTTCGATCAATGCTGCAAGCATCTGTTCCATTCGGCTTATGTGAGCCTCTGAGGATTCACTTGTATCAGTTCCCCTTGCACTCTCCATGTTGCTATAGAGACAACAAATAATAATAAACATGGGAATAATCTTGTTCATTTCTTTTAATTTAGTTGTCCAGATTTCAAATTCAGTTTTTACATTTTTAAAGTTTACCACATACTCACGCATGCAGATGGAATGTCCCTACTTCTTACTAGGACATCCTAAGCTCATATGGACTTGTGTGTGTGGTAGAACACGTGCTCTGATACCATACTGTCATGACCCAAACCCGTCTCTATAGGTTTAGCGTCGTAACCGGCCAGTAATCCTTCGATTACCAAAGACCTCTTAACAGAATAATATATAGTTAGGGGCTGCGGAAACAAATATACAAAATATACGTAGTCCATTGAGTTGTGAAGACATACATGGGACAGATAATTTAAAACTTTTATAAACTTGCGAGTGATGTCAAAATATACAGTATTTGCACATCACTCCATGAACGTATTATCAGAAATCTTGCCCGTAAATCAAAAGAAACAAAGTCTAGTACATTCACAAAAACAGCCACTAAACTTTACTTAATCCAGAACCTCCTCGGGAGGCACAAAGGTTGGCTGACAAAAACTGAGGCGCTAAGTCCTCAACTCTGAGCCTGGTTATGTGCCTGATCATCTGCATACATAATATAAATAGTGAACAGAAGCTTAGTGAATAATAACGGAGTAAAGGATTTAATGAATGAAGTACATACCAGGTTCACAAATCATAATTCATATTCAATAACAGATTCATATTTATTTCAGAAAGAGAAGCAAATCCATATTCATAATCTTGTTCAAATTATATACATAAATTAGAGTTCATGCTTAATTATATATGGTACATCCATTAGCACTGATAGAGTAGATACAGAACAGATGCAGAACATATGGTGGTCATGAGTAACCAATTCTATAAAGGAACCTCCGGATCCGGGTAATAGAGAATAAACATACTGAGCCCCATGATGGAGCCTCCGGTACAGGTAACAAATTGTAGAAATATTAAGTTCCATGATGGAACCTCCGATACCGGGTAACAGCTAACAGATATCACATGATGCTAAGGATGCCACGATTACATTATTAGAAATTAGACTATCATTCATTGTACAGAACATATCATTTCAGAAAACAGATCTTATTTTATCATACAGAAAGTAAATAAGGTTGAACATAGTTTTACTAAGTTATTACTCACAGTTGGCTTCGGGTGCTGGAATGAGGATGCAAAAATGCATTTGAAAACACTTGATCGAATTTTCTGAAAGTAGGGTCCCTGCTCGAGTGTAGTTTTATTCGCTCGAGTGGACATGCAAAATGTGAAGGGACGCTCGAGCGCAACTTCTTCAAGCTTTGCGTTCTGCAAACTTTGAAAAAGTACTGGTTATGCGATTTTCACACTCAACAAACGCTCGATAGTCGCTCAAGCATGAGACTCATGCCTCTACTCGAGCGCAACTCTTGCCGCTCGAGCAGTCTGCAAAAACATGAAACTTCTGGGAGCATGCATTTCACCCTCAAGCGAACTTCTGGTCGCTCGAGCGAAGATGCAAAAATAAAGGTGGCCACTTGAGCGAAAAATCACACGCTCGAGCGGAGAGCAAAATTCTAGAATTTCCAGAATGCTCTTCCTTGCTCAAAACTCGAATCTAACTTATCAAAACACAACTCTTGGCCATAAAACTTGAGAAAACAAGTTTAAACTTTGAAAACATTAAGAATTAAAGATCATTTCACAAAATCAAGGCCTAAGAGTAAGTCAATTGAGTAAAATCAAACTTGAAACTTATAAAACAACACATGGACTTACATGCAAGCACTTTTTTGACTTCAAAGCTTCCAAAACATGATCAATTGAGGCAAATTGATGGAAAACAAGATGAAGTTTCATAATTAAGTTGAGAATATGACATGCATGGAGAATTTACTTGAAATCAACTTTAAAATTACCATGAAATGCACATGCAAGCTCTACTCTTCTTCTTTCTTACTTAGTTCATTTCATGCAATAATCTTTCATTTTCATCTGAAATCACAACTTAAATAAGTTAATTACATAATTCAAAGGTTGAATTCCTTACCTACAAGTCTCAATTCTTTGAGTTCTTGAGTGATTCTTCCCAATGACCCAAATTCTAGCTAAGTTCAAGTTAATTCCTCCAAATTCTCTAGCAATCACCCTAGTTGAGCTCAAGTCTCCTCTTTTCTTTCCCTCTCTCACGTTTTTATCACTAAGAATGAAGATATGAGAGTGTAAAGGTATGAATGGGGGTCTATCAATGCCTTATATAGGCTAAAGTAATGGTTTAATTAAGTGGTTGGCCAAATTATTCAATTAGACATTAAATTATTCTAATTAAATCGTTCCGAATCGAATTTCAGTTGAATCTACCAAAATATTCTAAAAATTCTATTTAACACATAAATCAAGTCAATTTCTGAATCGGATGCCGACGAAGCCTTCAATTCGTAAACTGAAATGAAAACATGAACAAATCTTTCCTGCGTTAAACAGATATAAACACAAATAATACAACACACATGTAATTAATTCAGAATTTGATCTTAATAACATATTAAACATATGAAATCATAGATTAACATTAATCATGGGTCGAGGTTGTTACATCACGTAGCGACCACTATCCAAAAAAGCGGAGGTGATTGGTATGCACATATGGAACAATTTTATTACACTAGCAAGTTCAAAGCTTGCTATGCTGAGTCTGTTTATCCAATACTCACTATTGAGAAACCTCTTGTAGCTATGGATAATCTTTTTATCGTCCCTTCAATTTGTAAGAAGGCACCTGGTAGGCCAAGGAAGAATAGGATTCTATCTAGGGGTGAGAAGATAAGACGAGTACAATGTGGTAGATACGAGAAGAACGGTCATAATAGGAAGACTTGCAAGGAGACATTGCCATGAAAGACATTATTGCTTTGTAATAAAAGTATAAAAATAATGCAGTTCTTCTGCAATAAATAATCCATAGCAATAATAGTATAATCTTTTAGACTAGACTTGTAAGGAGATATTGCAATAAAAGACATTTTTTTTGTATGTTCTTGAATGGTTGTCTATCCAAGTTTTTGATTTTCTTTGTGGTTGTTTTTGACATTTTAATATATTTTTTAATGTGGTTGAATAGTTTCATGTAAATGAACTTCTAATGGAGTTTGTTTAGTAGGTGTGAAGGTTTGAAATGGCTGTGCTAAACCTTTGCTTTCAGAGTAAATTTTTGCTGTATTTCAGAGTAAACTTTTGCTTTATTGGAGAGTAAAATTTTATATTTTCCAGAGTAAAACATTACCTTCATTCACATGAAAGTAAAACTTTACTGTCTTTCAAAGTAAAATTTTACTATGTTATTGAATGGTTGTCTATGGCTGCGATGAGCTTGTGGTTTCACAGTAAAATTTTATTTTATTTTAAAGTAAAATTTTACTATATTGTTGAATGGTAGTCTATGGCTGTGTTTCAGAGTAAAATTTTACTACGTTATTGAATGGTAGTTTATGGCTGTTTCAGAATGGTAGTCTATGGCTGTGTTTTAGAGTAAAATTTTACTTTTATGCACAGTAAAATTAAAAGTAAAATTTTACCTTTATGCAAAGTAAAATTTTATTTTATTTTATTTCAGAGTAAAGTTTTACTTTATTTCAGAGTAAAATTTACTGTCAGACAGTAAGTTAGTCTCTTAGAAAAACATTTCCAACCTGCACAAAAATTTACCACAATACACAACTCCCCTGTTGCTTATCATGCAATCTTTGTACAAAATAATCTAATAACACAATTACATATATAATCAAAGATACGCAAGTATAACCTGTATCATTGTATTCTATCCATAACAACGTTCATTCCTAGTCAAAATAATATCCTACTATAATAATGAATTAACACCAAACCACAGTAAAATTTACTAGAACAATAGATATAGCATGTACTATCTAATACTCTTTTAGTATTCTTTCGCTTACAATTACTTTTTCACCATTCTTTCATTTACAAAAACCGAAATTACACACATCATTCATAGTAGTTCCCAAAAGTTGTCCACATCGTTGTCCTCGATGTCTTATGTCTTGGCTATTTTTCTTTTAAGGTTGAATTATTCCTCACTCCATGCTTTTGGATAATCATTTAAAAATTGATGCACTATTGATTCTCAGAAATTGTTAATTTCATTCTCTTCCATAGAATTTACAATAGGCTCATCTCTTATGATTTGGCGCATGATATAACATATAAGAATTCCGCAATCAACACTGTTAATAAAAATCAAGATCTTGTTAGATTTAGTCAAATTTGAAAATTACCAATTCAAGCATGTAGTAGTAGCGTGAAATACTTACGATGTTGGGCGTTATTGTGGACTATCTTTCACTGAAACCAAGTTTGCAAACTTTCTTGTACCTCTCCTCCTTTTGTTGGCCGACTTGTTCTCCACATATGTTATCTAACATCATTGCATAATTGTTTGGTCACAATTAAATACAAGAATAAAACACAGTAAAAATTTACTGTTAATACGATGCAAAGCACTTACTATCTGTTTTGCATCCTTAAGGTAAGGATCTTCTTTGTTGTCTCTTCGCCTTAAAGAATTGTAATGCCTCCACTCATCAAATTCAGTGTCCAATACAAGCAGCGTCCAGTGATAGGGTTTTTCTTCATTCTTGTTCCCATTGGAGTTCATGCAAAAGTGAAGGAATTTGTATCCACTCAAATCTTGCTTAAGCACTTCATCAATTAAATGATTTCTCAAATCTCCATAACCCCATTTCACCAATGACTGCATTTAATCAGATAAGAGTGTCATGTGTCAAGTTGTGCTGGTGACACACTGTATGAGTTGTCAATCTTTGGCAAACCAAATAGTAAAAATTAACTCTAAAATATAGTACAATGTTACACTAAACCACAGTAAAATTTTATTAATTCAAACTAAACACAAATTAATGGCTTACCCAATAAAGACTTGAGAAAAAGAATGACTTATTCTTTTCTGGCTTCTTTGTTTGTTGCTCAATTTGAAGCATTTCTACAAAGCTGTCAATGACCTCAAAAAACAAAAATCAATTAAATATATGTCAATAAAATGAACTATTTTTAGATATTGAAGTGAACACTAATCATTGAAAATTGAATGGCCACTTCCATTATTTGCAGTATTACCATCTCCCAGAATTGCATCCACATCATGCAATGTAACATATACACCATTTCCTGTGTTGGACCATGTGATTGCACTAGTCATAAGGTAAAAAAAAATGTTGATTAACATGTT